CTCTCTCGCTCTCTCTCTCGCTCTCTCTCTCGCTCGCTCTCTCTCTCTTTCCCGTTCACTCTCCCGCGTTTATGCTTGTGCTAGAAAAAAAATAAATCGCAGTTGTACTGTAGGTAGAAATACTGTTATGCTCAAATGGCAGCCAAATCGAAACTTCCTGTAATTCAAATTAAAATAAATAATCAGTAACAATATATATTAGGAGTTTAATAAAGCACTATTCATCCCAAGTGCATACAAGTGGAGTCAGTGTAAATGGTGGTATGAAAATAAGCGTAAGCTAGAGGTAAAGATTAAGTTTAAGTTGAACATCGTAGAGCTTTGACTAAAATAAATATCGCGAATAAAAAAGTTTTACAATTACACAAATCAAATTAAAAAATTCTTCTGTAGAGTCATCAAATATTACTCCTCCTTATGGACCAATGACTGCTGAACAGTTTGGGAAGCCTTCACTCCGTCTTTGCCGCCATTGCAGCTGTCGTCAGCATCGCTATCGTCAACAATGTCATCATCGTCATCTTCAAACTCCTCTTCAGAGAAGAAGGAAATCAGTTCATCAGCCTGCGTCAAGCTTAATCGCAACCTGTCGGCAGCCACCTCCACTTCCGTTTCATCCTCTTCCAGGACCTCGTCGCCGTCGGTGAAGCGAATGCGCTTGTTGACGGGTCGCGTGCCTGTGACACCGGTGTCCTGGGTGGTTCGTCGCTTCTTATCGGTGGCAGGGGCTGCCTCCTGAGTAGAGTCACTCTGCAAAGCTGCCGAAGAAGGGATGAACTGGCCAGCAACTGGAACGTTCTTCTCAGCTGCCCAAAACTGCAACACCTTTCGTTCTAGTGGCAGACAGTCTTTGAGCTTTTCAAAGTGCAGCAAGTCTGCCCAGCGAAGGGGACAGTTGGAAAAGACTAAAGAGCGAACAAAGATTTGGTAGTCTTTATCGTCGGCGTACTTGGAAACCATCGTCAGTGACTGCAGCTTAGGAAAGGCAGCGCCCAGAGCGCAGAAGATTTCTGCCTGCATTCGAAAGTTGGAAGAGTTGTAGTTGACGTCGCAGGAGTTATTGTGCAAAAAGTTAAAGCGATCGGTGAGTGATATGTGCTGTATTGTCTCGATAGCACTAGATGAGAGAAACTTTTTCTGCGGCTCATCCCAACTTCGCACGTCTCGAGGAATATTATTCAGCTCTGTTTCTAGTGTACAGACGTCAACACTTAGCTTCACTACATTAGGTAGCTCCATAAAGAAATCCATGAGAAGGCAATGTAGCTCCCTGAATCTGGCCTAAAAAGAAATAAATTATAAAAGTTGCTTGGGCAATATCCTCTTTGAGTAAACCTGTTACTTACATTCTTGCGCATATAAGTCACATCAAGCTCAGTCACGTGTGTGGCGTTTTTCAGAAGACTTGTAATTTCCCAATGAGAGGCAGAATCAAATACGCGAAAATTGAGAGACAATCGCTCAACAGAAGTTGGCAACTGCAGCGAACATCGGAAGTTGTAGCGGAAACTAGGTCTTAGCCAACGCACCCTTTCCGGAATGAACACGTTAGGCTGGGATTCTAACTCGCCCATATAAAACCGCCGAAGAAGAGGCAACTTTGAGATGGCTTCCAGATGATTCGTGCGCAGTAAAAGAAACTCTTCCATGTCAATGCCGTCGTAGTCTTCGAATTTTCCGCTTGCGTAAATGCTCACTGAGAGAACTTGAAGAGTGGACTGCCAGGCGGAGATCAATTTGGCAACGTCAAGTTGCCCGGGCGTGCAGGTAATGTAGTTGGTCCAGATGACCAGACTGGTCACGTCGGGAAAGAGCGGTTTAATAAAGTCAGACAGGTCGGTGTACCGTTTCTTAACGTTTGATCGAGGCCTTTCACGGTCCGGTCCTCTTTGCGGAATGTGTTCAGCATAAAGATACAATCCTTGCTGAAGTTGCAATGGCATAATCCCTGGAGGGATGCCCCTTAACGGGACGTTTTGTGGAGGAGCAACTTGATCTTCATCGACAATTCGTTCAACAGCAACAGCGTTATCATCGCCGTTGTTAACAACGACATTATTTCTGTCGACTTCATTGGCATGATTTGCCAGGTTTTGAAACCGGTCGTCAAGATGTAGCATTTGTTGTGCTAAAGCCGTTGTGCTGGAACCGTTTTTGCCCATTCTTCGGTAAGCCAATAATGTTTCCCGGCTTCTTTTTAAATTCCTCATCTTTTGAAGCGCATTATTATAATTAGCTTTTGCTTTTTTCAAGATTTCCGGCGCTTTGTTTTTCCTTGTCACTTTGTATTCAATAGACTTCTCTATTTTTCCTACGTGTTCTTTTGCCGCAGCAATTTCGATCTTTAATTTTTCTTCCTTCTCCTGCCATATTTTGTCCTCAGCAGCTTCATCATCTTTCTTCTTCTGCTTCTTCAGTGCCTTCAACTTATTCTGTTCAGAAATTTCTTTTTCACACTCTTTTTCAAAGTGAAGTTTTTCTTCTTCCAAAACTGAATTCGGGATTGTTAGAATTAGCGTGTCATAGGGGTCGAAAGACAGTTCAGGGTCGCGTTGCTGAGAGGTGCGATTAAGTGTATGGGCGTAGTCGACAAGTGACTGGCGAGAATCAAAGATGCGCAGCTTTTTTAAGTTTTTAAAGCTTTCGTCGATTAATTTCTTCCACTCAGAGCAGACGGATCGAATTAGCATTCGCTGGTTGAGTGGAACATTACGGAAAAAGTGACGTTGGCAGTCTTCCGTCAAGTCAGAAAATGTGGTCGCCGACGGCTTGCAGTGGATTGCCATCCCGATGTCAATCCGTTCCGGTATAGCCATCTTTGATGATGATGCTCATCCAGAAGTGATAAGGATCCGGTGGTGATGGCTCAATCTGGTTTCTCTTTGTTGATTTCACTGGATTGAAGGCAAGTTCACTGGATACTGGTGTTGTCGATCAGCGTTTTTTGAGGAAAGGCTCGATTTTCAGCAGCGAGCAGCCTGCTGCACTGCATTTGCTCAATGTCGATGGACGCCGACATCGATAGCGATGCTACGGAAGAAAAGGGTAAGGGCAATTTGTAGCCAAATTATGCAGTGATTTACCTTGAACGCATTTTGTAAAAGGTCAATTAAAAATGTGATATTTCCAAAAAAATCGTTTTAATATCACTTATTAAAAGAAAGTTACAAGATTAATAATATAATAAGTCGAAAAAGGGAAACAAAAGCTTAGCCGAACCACAAGGGTGGCAGACAAATGTTCAACGTTGAACTTCCAAAAGTCGAAAATCTCATTGCTTTTACGCAAAAAAGTTGTTATACCAGAAAACTGTGCTTGACTAAGGAAGAAGGTGGGGATTAAATGGTGATAATGGTGCACTGGCGAATTCCTATAAGGATTGTGGAAATGGAGTAGGTGATGTGTCAGAAGAGGGCGATGACAAAAAGTACAAAAAGTGTTTGAAGCTGGTTTCAGAAAAGTGAATCTACTAAACACACGACAAATTATAAAAACACAAGTGGAAAGACCACAACACGCAACACAGATGAATAGTTTTCATAATAAAAGAGAGACTGACTACCAAGGAAAAATTGGCGCTTAGGTGGTGTGCTACTTGAGACAGTAAAGTTAAGGATAACCGTTTGAAAAGGAATGAAAGATTTGTAGTAGGTTTTGGTGGAAGAAGTTTCGCTTCTTTTCTCCACATGGAACTTATTTGATTTAGGCAAGCAAATTCGACTGCTGTGATTTGTGAAGAGTGCTCTTGTTAAAGGAAGAGAGAGAGAGAGAGAGAGAGAGAGAAATGCAATTCAACGGCTAAGAAGGATAAGGAAATGGGTGTGTGCTGTGGTACTACTGGAAAAGAAGACTACTGCTGTGCTGCCGCTGTTGGTTCTACGCTGTTGGTCGTACTGCTGCTGTTGACTACTGCTGGCGACCGAGGGGGCGTCTCTGAGGCTGACGCCGGACCGTTCTTCTCAGTCTTTGCGTCCTGTCTCAGTCTACTGAAAGCAGGGGCGTTCGGGTGAAGGTCGGCAAAGTTGAGTGAAGACCCAGAGGAGGAAGCAGCTGTTGCGGTTGATGAGGAGGGGGCGGTTCGAGAGGTCGGCGAAGAGGGCGGTTCGAGATTCATCACCTTGCAGATCCAGCTACCAAAGTCAACTGATTCCTGCTCGGAACGCTTGATGAAGGGATGACTCTATTGAGATTGAATATAGCAAATGGGTCATTAGAAATGGCAGTAAAGCAAGCCCAGCACTTACCATGAGGCCATTAAGGTCGGGTCGTTCATGGGGCTCCTTCTTTAGGCAGCTATCAACAAAGTCCTTAAACTCAGGAGTGAAGACACCGAGTGGCACCGATGGAGGCGGCTCAATGACGATGTAGTCGAGCAGTGCAAAGATGGAGAGGGACGGCGTCGCATCGGATGATTCGCCACTGGCCGCCGATGATGAGTGTCGATTGCTTCCATATGGACTGGCCATATTGTAACCGGGCGAAGATGGATCAGCCGAACTGGTGTCCAGTGATGAGTCGTACGCCGGGCCGAAAATCTTTGCCAATTGCTTCTGCGAAGGCGGTGGAATAGGATAGAGGCCAATGGCCAACTCGACCAGAGACAGACCAAGTGACCAGACGTCAGATTGCACAGAGTACTGATTACCTTGAAGCCGCTCAGGCTAAGGGAATTTAGACCAAGATCAAAATCAACGGTTAAACGCTTGAAAAGAAGTACGAATCGCTTGAAAAACAGCCAACTTACCGACATGTAAGAGCGCGTGCCTACAAAGGAGTTTGCCATCGAGTCAATTAGCTGGCCACTGACTCCAAAGTCACAGATTTTTATCTCTCCCCGAGAGTTGACAAGCACATTTGAAGGTTTCACGTCTAGGTGTGCAAATTCAGTGCATTAAATAATTGAGTTAATTAATAAAAAACCCAATCAACCGTACCTCGATGAATAATCTGGTGCTTCTCACGCAGATATATCAGACCCTTGATGACATTGATTGTAATTTGGCCTAAAATTTGCTCAGAGATACGTCCTGCTTTTTTCAGTACCAAGTCTAAGGAGCCGCCATCCTGGTGGAGAAAAAGAGGGTTATAACAAGTTTTCAGCAGTTTGGCTTTACGAACCATGTACTCCATGCAGATATTAATCTCTCCTTCAGAGTAGAAAGCCCCATAAAAACCGACGATATGTGGTGAGTTGCACTCATGTAAGACCTTTAGCTCGCGGATAATCTGGTTGCGAATTTGCGGCTTCACTTCAAGACGGATCAGCTGTTGTTTTCAAAAATAAAAAAAGTTATCACTAATGGCTCCTAAATTATTCTCAGCGTTTAGTACCTTGCGTGCCATCACCAGACCCGACGGCATGTGGAGAACTTTGGTGACAACACCGCCGTTACCTGCTCCCAGCTCCCCTTTTAGTGTAAAGTCTTCAAGGCAAAGATTTTCGCCTACTCGTTGCCGCTGGATAAAGAAGGCCTCCAAACGGTTTCGCTGTTGATCGTCTAGCTCTAGACCCTCAAGGGTCCGTTGCAGTGCTTCGATTGAGGTGTCTACGGGGGGACTAGAAGAAGATTTAAGAAAGCTACTGCAATGAATTGAACTGATAAGACTCTTACTCTTCATTGTTCGCCGGCGAGGAGTTGCTTGAATCGACGGGCGTCCCACTGCCCGGCGGCAGAGTCAATTTGAGGCGGTTTCTGCTCATATTTGTGGCTCGGTTCGGTTGCATGAAGGATGATTCTGCCAGCCAAAGTATCACATCTGGTGAGATGATGGTGCTGATGATGATTAAGTCGTCGAGGGTAATCCTCAGAGAGTCAGTAAGCAAAAGTGACGGGTGTGGTTGGCCAGTCGGCCAGAAGACCGGTCTCTGGTGGCGGTGATGGGGGTGATTTCTTTGCCGTTGATGAGTTTGTGTAGTCCACCAAACAGCTGCCGAGTTAAAAATCCCTACGTCCGAACACCCAATGAATTGAAAGAGAAAACGAGGAGAATATTCCTGAGAGCAAAATATACTGCCACTAAATGTTGGAAAGACTCGGCTGCTGAAACTCACTGCGGGGGCGCCCACTGGGCGCTAATTCATCGAAGAAGTAATGGTCTGCAGCTCCCTACGCGACACCGGTACATGTTTAACGCTCAATTCTAAAACCCAGATCTTAGGCTTTCGGGTTTAATTTGTTGTTTTTAGAGAATAGGAGAATTTCTGCCATTTTTTTGTAAAAAACAAACACCCATTCAGCACAACAATGGAACTTGTAAATGGAAAATAAAAAAATGTTAGCTTTGGTGTGATCATCGCATTTGTGGACAGCGCAAACATTTTTTTCTCTGCAGCCAAATTCATTCTGCACTGTCACGATTGCCAAGTGTGTTTTGCTGTCTAATCTCGCTTCTTCCCAAACTACTGCTGCTTCTTTGTGTTTTTGCCACCTTTGATACTCTCTATCCTTCTATTTATGTCAGAGAAGAAGATGACCGCTGCCACTGCTGATGTCAGAATGGAGGAGGTTGATGTAAGTTGTGCCAGGTGGTGCAAACGATCGTGGCTAATCACTTCTAACTTTGCATCATTTTTAATCCACCAGGAAATCGCCGAAGAGGTTCTTCGCATGGGTCGAGATGAGATCACCAGTCGCACTCGCCTGCTGGACAATGAGATTAAGATCATGAAGAGTGAACTGATGCGCATCAACCATGAGTTGTCCGCCCAGCGCGAGAAGATCAAGGAAAACACCGAGAAGATTAAGGTCAACAAGACGTTGCCCTATTTGGTGTCAAATGTCATTGAGCTGTTAGAGATTGACCCGAAAGAGCTGGGTGAAGAGGACGGCGCCAATGTGGATTTGGACTCGCAGCGCAAGGGCCAATCTGCGGTCATCAAAACTTCGACTCGCCAGGTAAACAACTCTTTCTCTCTCTACTCAAACGATTCCCATTAATATCCATTCTCTTTCAGACGTACTTTCTTCCAGTTATCGGTCTGGTCGATCCTGAGAAGCTGAAGCCCGGCGACCTCGTCGGCGTCAACAAGGATTCTTATCTCATTCTGGAAACGCTTCCCGCCGAGTATGACAGCCGTGTGAAGGCTATGGAGGTGGACGAACGTCCCACCGAGCAGTACAACGACATCGGCGGTCTGGAGAAGCAGATCACCGAGCTTATCGAAGCTGTCGTCTTGCCGATGACACAGAAGGAAAAGTTTGAGAAGCTGGGCATCGCCCCACCGAAGGGCGTTCTGCTGTACGGCCCACCGGGCACTGGAAAGACACTTCTCGCTCGAGCCTGTGCCGCTCAGACCAAATCGACCTTCCTCAAACTTGCCGGTCCACAGCTAGTGCAGATGTTCATCGGTGACGGCGCCAAGTTGGTTCGTGACGCCTTTGCCTTGGCCAAAGAGAAGGCTCCGGCGATTATTTTCATTGACGAACTGGACGCCATCGGCACGAAGCGCTTCGACTCGGAAAAGGCCGGCGACCGAGAAGTCCAGCGCACTATGCTTGAGCTGCTCAACCAACTGGACGGCTTCAGCAGCAGCACCGACATCAAGGTCATTGCTGCAACCAATCGCGTGGACATTCTTGATCCGGCGCTGCTGCGATCGGGTCGACTGGACCGAAAGATCGAGTTTCCGCATCCGAACGAGCAGGCTCGAGCGCGCATCATGGAGATTCACTCTCGTCGCATGAACGTCGACAAGGACGTCAACTTTGATGAGCTCAGTCGCTGCACTGATGACTTCAACGGCGCCCAGTGCAAGGCCGTCTGCGTGGAGGCGGGCATGATTGCCCTGCGGCGTAATGCAACAGTCGTCAATCACGAGGACTTCATGGACGCCATCAATGAGGTGGCCAGCAAAAAGAAGGCAAACTTGAATTACTATGCTTAGAGGTCCTGCTTACACACCTCTCCGATGATCAAAGCGTCTTTTTAAACTCTTTGTATATACACTCACTACCACACATACACACACACAATTTACGGTTAGTTACGGCCGTGATGGAGATAATCCTAATTTGTATGCTGATTTTTTATAAACTTTAGCGATTTATACTTTATGTACAAGAAGATGAGGAAATGGAGTTTCATGATTACAGCTCTTCAAAGTCTCGCACAGCGACATCGCCATCTTCGCCGTACTGCAGTGAGTTATCGACGACGTTCAGAACGTCATTGAGAAGGTCCTCATTGTTAATGGCCAGTGGGAGGAACTTGTGCAGTGAGTAGTCGTCGACGATGGTGGCAAAGGCTTTACTTAGCTTGTAAAACTTTTCCGCAGTGCGGCGAGGGCCTACGGTAGTACTAGCGGTGGTGGAAGTGGATGTTGAAGTGGACGCTGACGGCTCATGATCACCTGAAGCATCAGTTGGCGGTGGTGCTGACGATCGAAAGCCAGGCAGGTCGACGTCGAGAAGAGTAGCTGAGGGTTCTAGGAGCTCGTCAATCATTCGCCTTGATTCGGGTGGAATCTTGTCTACCTTTGAGAGGATGTTTACCACCGGCAACTCGAGGTTGATCACAGTGATGAGCGACACCATTAGAGAGCTAAAGTACTTGCTCAGGTCAGAGACAAACTGACTGTCCAACAGGAAGACAACGCAAACGCGAAAGTTGAGCGTCTCAAGGTACTTGGCAAAGTTTTTCATCAGTCCAAAGTGACTGACCAGCTCAATTTGCCCGGGAGTGTCGAAGAGAATGTAATCGTCGTCCATCGTACCGAGGCGTTCCGTCAGCCAGTCGAGATTGTCCATCAGATACTCCATCGCATAAACAAGTGCTCCATTCGGACCGTAGTTCAGCTCCTCCATAATGTCATCCACGTGAATCAGTTCGCGAATGTCCGTGGCTGGCTGGTAGTTGAAGACCTCCGCGGCTGGATCAAGGTTCACCGCAAACATCTGCCGCCGAGAGGCTTCAGCATGACTCAGCATGGCGCTGATGTACGTCGACTTGCCACTGCCAGCAGGGCCGACCACTAGTTGGGCGTATCGAGGCATGACTGGTCCTGTCCTGACGGTGGAATCTTGAAGCCACAAAGAAAGAAAGAAAGAAGTTACCTCGTGGTGTTTTGATTTTCAAGTCTGACGCTTCCTCACGTGACACGGACACCGCCGTATGCGGTCTGTCCTTTAACAACGTACTGAATGCTTTCAAAGAGGTAATGGGTAAATCGTTAATCGATAATGTTCAGGTATTACAGAGGTACTATCAAGGATTGTTGTAGAATGAGATCATCAACATGTGGATGACTGAAATTAGAAAATAAAAATAAAAATATCTAAAAATAAAATGATAAATGATGTCGTAGTTGAGCTTGTTTGAACACTGGTTTGCAAGAGGGTAATCACAGTTTTGTTTGCTTAAAATCAGAGATCTAGTAGTTGAGCTATCGCTTCTCTGGCATTTTCACCTGTCGTTCACCGTTGAGTAGCAGTATGATAAAGGCCTTAAAGAGGAGATAAGTACCGAGAATGTTTCGTGCGCGCTTGTTCAGCTCCAGATCGCAGCGGTACGACCCGCTAATGCTATTCGTCAGGTTACTCAGCGAAAGAACGTCAATCATCAAGGCTTCGCGCGTCAGAGCCTCATCCTCGCTGATGCCTTGAAAGCAGTGCAAAGATATAGGACCCTTTCCAGTGCGCCAAATGCTGCAAATCTTTTCCACTTTGGCGCTAGAAGGAGCGCTGCCAGTGGCTCGAGGGCCCTTGTTGAAAGCTGGATCCATAGCCTGAAAAACAAGACCATTGTAAAAAGAACTGAAATCTCAACGAGTCGCCTCAACTCACCTTGTAGGCCTCGTAAAAGTGTGCATAGGCACGAGCGTTGCAGCCTTTGCCCACGTAGAAGATTGCCAGGATGAATGCCGCAAAGAGCTTTGGGTCAAGTAGCTCCAAGAGGCCACTGGGTCTGCCGTTACTCCTGTCACCACATCCTCCAATAAGCATCTCCAAGCACATGTTTGCTCGCACGGGCAAATTGTCAGTGATGGCAGGGTCGAGAAGGAGATAGCTGAAGTAGGTGTTTTTTGCGGATGAGCCACCGTGAATGCCGTCTTCGTAGCGCGACTCGATTTCGTCAAACTTTTTTATTAGCATGTTCTCGTACTTGATAGCCTCCTCAAAGGGAAACTTTCGCTTAACTAGATTGGTAAACTCTAATGGATAGCTAGCCAGCTTTTCCATCAATTTCTCCGTTTCTTTGTCTTCTTGTGTGGTCACTTCTTCAACCATCGTCTTCCTCAACCATACCGAGTTTATTTCATTTAGAAAGGAAGAATGTGAAGCTTGCCCTAAAACGAAAAACCAAATTATAGCCTGAATACTTGGGAAATTTCGTTAGACGTTAAACCAACCTTGATTTTTAAGTCGATTAGCCTTCCTCTGATACAGACGCTTTGTGCGCTCATTTACAGGGCCCGGCTTTTCGCCTTTCTCCACTAGATGATCAAACAGTTGGGTGTTGGTCATTTTCAAGATCAGTTCGTCGATGGTCGACTCGACAGATTCAGTAGATCGGTTGAAACTGCTGGAGGCATTTCCGCTTCCATTTGGAGATGAAAACTCGCTCTTGCGCTGCTCGTCAATGAGTCGTGGTGCCCCATTGAATCGCTCTTCAAGAAACTGTACATTGTAAGCTTCATCTTTGTACAAGTACACTTCAGACGCTAGCGAATCGAGACTACTATTGATAGATGGCAGGTAGGAAATGCCAGAACCAGCAGATAGACGAACATTACTCAAAAGATGATTGCTTTGGTTTGAGTTGTTCATGGGTTGAATACTGCTGTCGCTGATGGTAATTAGAGATTGATTTGTGGTAGGTGCAATTTTCATTGGTGTTTGGAAAATGGTCTCATTTGGATCCTGATTATCGAGGCACCAATTTGTTACACCTTCTTCAGAAACATTACACACTTGATCTTTTCTATCATTAACAGAAGGACTTTTGTTTGACATTTGCATCGGTGTTTGAAAAATGGTTTCGTTTAGGTCTTCATTATTGAAAGAACACTTTTTGATGTCTTCTTTAGAAAGATTCAACACTTTGCCGTTTCTTTCACTAGAAGAAAACTTTCGGTTTGACGACATTTGCATAGGTGTTTTGAAGACTGTCTCATTTTGGTCTTGATTGTTGAAACAATACTTTTCAAACCCTTTTTCAGAAGTACTCACTACTTTATGGTTTGTTTCACCAACAGAATTTCGTTTCGAAAACGTCTGAATATGCGTTTTGAGAATCGGTTCATTTTGGTTATGATTGGGAAAATACCAATCGTTGAAATCCTCTTCGACAACACTAATAACATCTTCGTTTCCGCTACTAAAAGAACTTCGGTTTGATGACTTGCGGAATGTGTTGAGAATCGATTCATATTGATCATAATTAAGGTTATACCACTTCTCGATGCCCTTTTCGACAATCTTTATCATTTCGCCATTTCTTTCTTTCTCAGCATAATCTTGAACAGTTTTTCCAAACGAATCGCACTTAAGTAAATCTGGAGTGAAGTCTACGAGAATCTTCAAAATCGAAACGTGGTGCCACTGAACTGCAATATGGGCCGCTGTTATGCCATAGTTGTTGTCAATGACGGCAGTTGCATTCACATCAGCGTTTGGCCGTTTGAGCAGTTCGCGAATGCATTTTTCGAGAAAAGCAGTGGATGGTTCCAGTCCTGACAAAATGTGCAGCAAATTCAATTTGGTACCATTGTCATTTTCAATGAGTATGTACCGATTGAGGTCGCCATTCATGTTGTCCAGATATGAAGAGAATAATCTGTAGGATAAGGTTTATTAAAGAGCAATCAGTAGTGTAAACAAAATGTGAAACTTACCTCATATCATTTTTCAGAAATATCGACTTTATTTGCTCCATTGCAGCAGGCATTTTTGCGGACCCTTTGGCCCTTTATCAGTGATGACAAACAGTATTTGAAGGAAGAGGAGGAATGGTTTCTAAAAAACTGAATGAATTTTAACGTTAGATAACGGCAGACAGTCTGTTGTAGAACCGCAGAAAAATGTGCGCGCAAAAAAAACCAAAACAACCGAAAGAATGCTCGTAAATGCAGTGAAACAGCCTTTGTCTACGAATGACTCTTGCTTCACAAAAACACAATCGCATCTCATGGCGTGAAAATTCAGGTTTTTTACCGAGCAAATAAACCGGTGTTCAAAGTTTTAAAGTTCTCCAAGGATTCAACCTAATCAATCAAGTAGCCGTTGCGTAGAAGGTTTTTCACGAATTTCACCGCAACGATGTCAGTGACAGAGAAAGCCTTTGTTCTGATCAAAGACATTCAAAATCAAAGTAATTTTTTGAAGTTACCTGAAGAAGATTGTAAAATTTTAATATTTTTTACCCACACTCATTTAGGTTTGCTCACCGGTGTATACCAACCGTTGGTGGATTTAATCTTGGAATCGCAAGAAAATGTTTTTCACACATGCACCTCTCTTGATGAGCTTATGCAACAGCTGGACATTCAAGAGAATACAGCCGCTATACTCTGCCTGCTGTACGTATTGCTTTCGTTTGTCATTTCTTTTTACTAAGCGGTCGTTTCTTCTTTAGCACAAACAAAATCAGCATTACAACCATTAACTTGGAGCAGACATTTGCACAGATTTCCGAGTTCATCAGTGAATGCGCCGACGCCCAGGTGAAAGCTCTACCCAACTTGTGTATGTGTTCTGTACCATCAGATTTCGTGACTTTTTACATTCTCAAACTCTAACTTTTTACTTTTAAATTCAGTTTCCGCACTTTGTCGTTTTTTCACCGATAAACTAATCGAGTCAAAGCAGTATTTACGTGGCGTCGATCCGCTTTGCAAAGCCATCACCAAAGCACAGAATGCTCCTACGCAGTTGACTTCTATTCACTGTGACCTTTTAAAGCTTTGCTTGTTGAGCAAATGCCTTAAGCCCGCGCTTGCCTTCCTAGACGTGGACATCAGTGACATTAGTCGCGAAGCTGATACCTTTGATGTAAAGTACTACCTGCTTTACTACTATTACGGTGGAATCATCTACGCGACCTTCCGCAACTTTGAGCGATCGCTCTTCTTCCTGACTAGCGCCATCAGCGTCACCGGCATCGCCATAAGCGAAATTGTCGTCGAAGCCTACAAAAAGTACATCCTCGTCTCACTACTGGTGCACGGAAAGGTGGGCCTTCCGCCGAAGCAGAACGCCAACTACCTCAGTCGTTGCATTCGCCCTTTGTCAGTAGCGTACACCGAGCTCGCCAGCGCCTACTCCGAGGACAATGCCGAAGATCTTGAAAAAACGTTTATGAAGTATCATCACGTGTACGAGCGGGACACTAATGTGGGTCTTGTCAAGCAGGTGATGGCGTCAATGGTCAAGGTGAAGATTCAAAAGTTGACCAAGACCTTTATGACGCTCTCCTTTGGCGATATGGCTACCCGAGTGAACTTAGCCGCCGGCGAAGCCGAAGCGGAAAGCATCATTTTGCAAATGGTAATGTGTTTTTTAATTTGTGTTTTAGTTTACAAATTGAGGTTTTGTTTCTTTTTATCAGATCGAAGATGAGGAGATCTTTGCGTCGATTAACCAACAAGATGGCAATGTTCTTTTTCTCGACAAGCCTGAAAAGTACAACAGTCCTGCCATGTACCGCCTATTAGAGCAGGAGCTGCAAAAGTGCGTTAAGCTCAATGAGAAGCTAAAGGAGCTCGACCAGGACATTGCTTTAATGCCCAAGTACCAGAAACTGCGTGCTGCCTTAGACTAATGCTTGAGCACGCCTGTGTTCTCTGTCTCTTCTGCCCACACTTGTGTACACACATACACTCTGTTTGTAATCTCCTTCCCTTTTCCCTTTTCTCTTTTTTTTCAATTGATTTTGCCCTAAGACTGGAATTTGTACAGAAAAATAGTTAATTCGTTTGTTGAGATCAATGTACGATTTTAAATGTGTGAGATTGATTTGTAGTATTTTTTGCCCCTCTATATTCCCGAAGTGCACTGCGCCCCATCACCACTGGAGCCAGGCGGAGGAGGAGGAGGAGGGTGTTGGGCTTGGGGAATACCCTCCAGGCGGGTGTACTTGTTCATGAGGCGGAGGTGCACCCGCTGGTAGTGGCGCTGGTGATCCACGCCCGACCAGCCACAGCCAATCCAATTGCACTTGACGTAGCGCTGAGCGGCGGCGGCGGGCGTCCCTGCCCCCGCCGCCGCCCTGGTCTGCTCTCCGGCGACCAGCTGATCACACTGTGTACTGTTCAGGTGATCCCAGAGTGACTTCGCCTGAGGGAAGAGCCGCCCGCAGAGCTGGCAGATGGGGTCGGAGCGGTGTCGTCGGTGGATGTGCTCCTGGAGAAAGGCCGACATGGTGTAGGAGGCGCCGCAGCACCAGTACAGTGGCTGGTTGTGCTTCACCTGCAGGTGCTCCGCCAGGGCCACCTGGTTTGCCAGGATCTGGTGACAGCCGGTGACGATGCACGGCAGAGGTAGCGACGAGTGGACATTGGCGGTGGGGGCGGCCTGCACACTGCCACCAGCACTGCAGATGACTCCGCCCACTGATGACTGACTGCTGGGGGCGGAAGTGCTTCCATGGGAATGCTGCGATGTGGCTGGCGAGGATCGATGCTGCTGATATTGCTGCTGGTGCTGTTGCTGCTGATGAGGATGGTGGTGAACCAGTGTGGAGAAAGGTCGACTGGGAAGACTGACTGATGGCTGAGCTGGGCTGCTCCCCAGTGATGATGGTGGTGGTGGTGCCATACTGACGGTCATTGATGGCAGTGTCTGCTGGTGGTGGTGGTGGTGGTGGTGATGCTGGTGCTGGTGCTGCTGGTGCTCAGTGTTGTAGTAGATGGTGTGAGTTTGCAGTCCTGCTTGGTGGTGCTGAATGCTCTGGTGATGCAACTGAGATGCAGCCGCCGCTGCAGCTGCAGCTGCCTGCGACGACAGATTCGATGTTGATGTGAGTGCCAGTCCAGACAGTATCTGGTGACTTGAGCCTCGTCGGTACTGTGCACTGCTCACTGCAGCAGTACTGGCCTGTCCCTGTGGTATGCCTGTAACGCTCACCGGAACGGAGGCTCGGCGAAGAACTTTCAGTGCCGGGTCGACCAGTGCCGGTCCGGAGTGCACCGGCAGCGAATTGGATCTTGAGGAACGCTGCCAGTGAAGTTGCTGCTCAAGGAAGGCCGGACCGCAGGCTCTACAACTCGCCTGTCGACAGGGCGACCGTGCCGAGTCCGGCGGCGCAGTGGAAGAAGTTGATGGTTGCGGTGGCAGCAGTGGCGAGGTGGCCCAAGTCAAATGTCCCTTCGCATCGCCAATTATCGTCTCCTGTCGGCGAAGTTGTCCTTTTCGCGCGTCCACCGTTGGTGATGGCGGTGGTGGTGGGAGAGGCACTGGCGGCCATGCGAATCCCGTCTGAGCTGACAATCCCCCTCCACAGCTTTGTCCTGCCACCTTTGAGCCCCTAGCCGTCATGACCACACTGGCGGCTTCAAGCGAACTTTTTTGCAGCTGCAGAATCTTCAGCTGTTCAAGAGTGCTGCTAGAGGCTCGAAGGCGTTTGTAGTGCTCGGGTAGTTCTTCAATGATGGACTCTCTTCGCTTTTGAGTGCTGCTGCTGAAGGTCGTCGAGGTGGTGGTCGACTGCAGCAGTCGAGCTACCTCAGAGTCAGTTGATGGCTCTACGTTGAGGTGCATCATTGTCGAAGAAGTGGCGGTGGCTAGATTTCCGGTCACCAGCTGTTTCAGTGATCGTCTCACCTGCTCTTTGGGCGACGCTTCAGCTGGCGGATTAGACTGCGGAAGCGGTATTGGTATGGCTTGTGGCGCTGAAACAATATCAGGCCCTAGGTCAATGGTCAGCGGTGGCTCCGGACTGTACGCCTCGAATGATTCCCCAGCAAGGCCAGAGTCTGTCGACTCAAAGGAGGTCACATTGGTGGACTGACTGAGAGATCGGGAACTGCTGTAGATGAGAAACTGCGGAACCGTTATCTGACCATCACTGCCGCTGCTTCGAGAAGAGCAGGCGGCGCCTATCACAGGAGGTGTTACTTTTTCGGTAAACTTTGAAGTTGCACAAGGGCTCGGGGAGATGGGACTAGTCGCCTGGGGTGGACTGGGCTTTGAAGATGGAATGGACGGTAGTGAAATTGGTGCTAGTGAGGGCTGTGGTGAGGGTGAAGGTGAAGATAGGATTTCAGCTTCGCGGACAGTAGAGGTGCCAGCCAAGGTGGACGTTTGCACTTCCTCAGAGGAGACCACCTCCGAAACGACCTGCCGGAGGACGCCGTCCGCCCCGGCCAGCTCCTGGTACTGTGCCATCAGCTTTGACTGTCTATAGTAGGACACATCGGGCTTAGTGCCGAGCGGCGGCACTTCTTTCTCTGTCTGCGTAGACGTCGAACTGACAGATTTTGGCTGTTGTTGTTGTTGTTGCTGTCGAACAATGGAGGACTCTAGCCTCTGAAGACAGGAGATAGTGCTGCGAATGTTGGTTAAAACTTTGACGGGAGTTTCTCCCTCTTCTTCCGGAGAATGCATCATCTAATTGAGCCTAAGTGTGCTCTCCGCTCTGACGACAAGTCTATCCTCTGGTTGCTCTCTTCACAAAGCCAAAGAGAACACTGAAGACGCCACTTGCCGTTTCAATGTGTCATCAACTGGTCAACAGGGGAAAAGCAGTGTTCTCTCCTCTCCGTTTCCTCTTCCTCTTACTCTTCGTCTTCTTGGAGGATCACATCAAGAGGAGCAGTTGTAGCGGTCTTTTTGCTGTTACTGGTAATGCTGCTGCTGCTGCTGCCGGTGATGGTGCTGAAGCAAGTGACTGTGATGCTGCCTTCCTCTGGTTAGCAAATGTCGAGTGGGCAGTGAGCCGCAGCGTAGAAGGCCTGGTGTAGGCCGTGTCAGAGCCGAACATGCCATGTTCCGCTAGCATGCCTCTGTTCTGGATGACTGGTCCACCGCGTCAGTTGGCATTGGAAGGTGGCTCACTCGCTCTCACTCTCACAGTACCTTCATCACCCAAAGTCCTGGTTAAGTGGAAATGAGCCGAGAAGGAGCGATGAGGGGAGAGAAGGTGAACCGAACTGGCTGCGTTCAGTGTGCCTCGTCCTCAACTGGACAGCTACTTCGCTGAAGGTCGAATGGACTCGAAATGGGGGAGAAAGAGACTAGGTTGGCACAAAAGTTTACAAACCTTGGTATTCGAATTTTACTTTTGTGTTATTTGAACTGACAAAAAAAGTATAATGACAACAGTTAATGAATCATCATTATCATCAGTTGATAATGCGTTCTTGATTATTTGTTTTTACAAGTAACATTTTACGTCTATTTATCATGGTATACTAGAATAATGTTGCTCAATTGCAGGGTACAGGAGAAGTGATAGCTTTCGAAATGTGCCTCACGTGATTTCCTTTGCAAAGTTCAAATCTCCTCATGTGATGCACAACTGCATTGTGTAAACGTGGCACCAGTTGATCATTAGGCAATTTATTTAAATTACGCAAGTTACGATTCTATCAGAATATTCTTTACAAAAATTAGCCTTTTCTAAAATGGTACGTGTAGTCATAACGCCTTGCTATTGAGCCTTACACTTTTTTGTCAACGCTAAAGCACAACCCATGCTTCTCCCGGCCTTGCATTCTCTATTCTGGCGTTGAATCCTGAGAGTGGCAGCGCAGCGTACAAACGACGCAACATGCGCGCCACAACTCTCGACAACTGGGCAACAGTTTGCTGTGCTCAGTTGTGTAGTGAGCAGTTTTGAGCATCACTACAGCGAAGCAAAGGCAGAAGGCACTAGTGCAGCCAGCCAGCCAGCTTGTCTCTTCTTCCACTTCTTCTTCTTCATCTCTCTGTCGGCAATCGTCTGCTCGTGAGCCAAAGGCAAATGCGCCACCACCGATGGCGCCGCCGCCCCCCGCCACGGTGGTACAGCAGCAGCAGCAGCAACAGCCGCTAGTGCCGTCACCGTCGGCTGCCGCATCCTCCGCTCACCTCCACCGGCATGATCATCATCGCCGTTTCTTCTTCGCCGACCACTTATCAACAGCAGCAGCCGCAGCAGCAGCAGGCAAGCAACCACAGGCGCAGAGTAGCAGTGCCACATCGCACTGCCAGCAACAACAGCAACAGCCACAGCAGCCGACGCCGACGCCGTTGCAGCAGCTGCAAGCGCATTCACCAGCTACGCCGACGTCGTTTCCACCGCCACCAGTCGACAATATCTCCCTGTACATCAAGAACACCATTGCAGCCCACCACCAGCTGCAACAGCAGCAGTCAGAGAGGGAGCAACAGGAGAAACAACAACAGCTGGCCTCGACCTCGCCGTTGACCACCGCTGGATCGACTCCCCTCATCAGCCACCATCAGCAGAACAACAACACGAATTCAAACTCACAGCAGCCTCGTGGAGGAGGAGGTGGAGGAGGTGGGCGCCCCGTTCTCAATGGCGCCGCCGCCTCGGGTGTCCCTGGAAATGGCGGGGGCAGTCGTCTGCGAGCGGCGGCTGCGGCCGCCTCGGGTCAGCACCACCAACTCATCAACGGTGCCCTGGGCGTCTCAATGGCGACCTCCCTCGCCGAGCAGAGCAGCGTCCCCTCACCACCACCTTCCTCAGGCAGCATTGCCAATCATGTGGCCAACTACAATGACATCCTTAAGCTGACCAACTCCTGTTACCAGAAGGTGCTTCCCAGCTCTTCGGTCCTCGCATCGAGTGGATCACTGGCCAGCCACTACCATCACCACCAACACCAACAGCAACATCAGCAGCAGTACCACAGAGCAAAGCCATCCCCGTTGATGACGCCACCTCCCTCCTATTCGGCTTCTCGCTCCAGCAGCAGTGGCCCTCAATCGCCCAGTCTCACAATCAGCTCCACCTCTACTTCTGACTACAGCTCGGTGCCACCCTTTATACCGAATAGCGCCTCCTCTTACGTCCTCTTTCAGAACCTCAACAACAGAAGGCAGTCCAGTTCGGTGGATTTAGGCGTAGGTGGTAGTAGTAACTCGATGGGCCCAGCATCGGCAGCCCTGCAGCAGCATCACCAGTCTCCAGCAACCTCAATTGTGATCAACAATGCCACTGGCAAAGTAACCGCTGGTCTGGCTACTATGCCCAGCAGTCAGCATGCTGCTCAGCAGACCTCACAACCTCCGCCATCAGCTTCCAAGCAGACGCTCACCACCCATCCACTGCTGCAGCCATCCAGCTCGAGGAAGGCCATTTCCCAGTCGCCCGTCATCATGCAGTCCGTCAAGTCACAGAAGATCAACAAACCAGTCCTCCAGACGGCAATAGGTCCCAATACCGCCATCAAAGGCTTCGCTTCGACGCCGACAGTGCCACAAACAGTGATGGGCGTGCAAACAGCACCTTCCGGAGGACAGCAAATTCAAATTCAACGAGCCGCCAACCCACCTCCGACACCGCCCTCCCCACTTTACATCAGTTCCTCTTCTTCGAACGTCTCCTTCAGCAATGTTCCCAGCCCTGTTCCTTCGAACACCTCCTCGGCGACGACCTCCTCCGCCCGTCTCCCACCGCCGCCGTACTCTGCCGTGCACCAGCAAATGCTGGCGGCGAACAGTGCCGCCCAGCAGTCGTCGATGGTGGTGAACTTGGTGTGCAGTAGCAGGGCGCCCAGCAGCTGCGGCTCCAGCTCCTCTGCGAGGACCTCTCCGCGCACTGTGCCCCAGAGCGACTGCAGCTCATCGCCTGCCTACCCCCCGCCGCCCTACTCTGCGGCCATTGCCAACCGCCTGACCGCCGCCTCCTCCTCCTCCAGTGTCGTCTCCGGCGGGAGCAGTCTGGAGACGCTTCACCACGGCCAGCAGCAGCCGCCCCCACCACTGCCCCCCTACCTGCTGTCCACCTTTGAGTCACTGCCCCTGGGGCAGCAGCGCGAGATCATCACCCAGATCATGTCCAACATCGTCCTCAGCACCGGCGGCGGCGGCGGCGCCTCCTCCTCTCAGCCGGCGTCACTTTACGGCGGCTCCAACGGCTCAGGCTCCACCACCCACCACCAGGTGCCCACCACGGAGCCGCCCAGTTACGCCAGCTCAATGGCTGCACGTGCCGCCGTGGCGGTGGCCAACAACAACAACGCCAACACCAACGCTTCATCGTCTCAAGTCGCTTCCAACTACAATGACCTAATCAAGCTAACCTGTTGCCAAATTCCTGCCGTCTCTACTTCCCCGAACCACCAACCACAACATCAGCAACATCAACAACAGCATCAGCAGCAGCAACAGCAACATCACCAGCCCCCGGCGTGGATCGCCAATCGACCCCTTCCTCTGCCGCCCACTTCAGAGAGCCAGTCTAATCTGGTGAACACTGTCGAGTCAATCTGCAACAGTCAGATCAGCGCCCTTCAGTCGACCGCCACCAGACCGGCACTGAGTCGAATTCCAGCAATCACCGATTGCACTGTCCCACCGTTGCCGCCCAAGCCGACGCCTACCATGCAACTGCTGGCCTCTCATGTTCCTAAAGACGATGCTGCTGCTGGTTGCTCTGTCGGCACGCCAGCAATACTACCTGATTCTCTGCTGACTTTGGGTGATGGGGACTCTGCGGAGGACGGCGAGCCCACTCGGTCGTCCAGTCCCATTCCGCAGCGACGTCCCGGCGCCAAGGACACCCCTTCATCGAAGGTGAAGCTGTACAGTCCAGCGGCGTACAAGTTCTACATGGAGCAGCACTTTGAGAATCTGATCAAGAGCACCAAACAGAGGGAGCTACGCCGTCAGCAGCTCGAGTCGGAGATGGCGAAGGTAGGTTTGAGCGAGCAGGCGGCCACTGAGATGCGCCGAATGCTGCACCAGAAGGAGTCCAACTACATTCGCCTGCGCCGGGCGAAGATGGACCGCTCCATGTTCGACAAGATACAGACCATTGGCGCCGGTGGCTTCGGCGAGGTGGCCCTGGTGCGGAAGAAGGACGCCGACATACTGTACGCAATGAAGATTCTCCAGAAGGTGCGCATCTTTGAGGAGAACCAGGTGGCCCACGTCAAGGCGGAGCGGGACATTCTCGCGGAGGCGGACAATGAGTGGGTGGTGAAGCTGTACTACAGTTTCCAGGATGACGCGTACCTTTACTTTGTCATGGACTACATCCCCGGCGGCGATCTCATGGGACTGCTCTGCAAGCTGGACATTTTCAGCGAGCCACTGGCCACCTTCTACATTGCCGAGTTGGTGCTGGCTTTGGAGTCCGTTCACAAGATGGGATTCATTCATCGGGACATTAAGCCGGTATGTAGTGCCTAAAATCAGGGAGATAAAAAAAATATTTACTAAATATTGTCCGGTTTCCTCCTCAAAGGACAACATCCTCATTGACCGCGACGGTCACATCAAGTTGACTGACTTCGGTCTGTGCACTGGCTTTCGCTGGACCCACGACTCAAAGTACTACAATCACAATCGAGTCAACTCGATGGACTTTGACATGGTCGTTGGTGGAGGCGCCTCAAGTAATGGCAGTTCAAGCATCAGCTGCAACTGCAACCTCCATGGGTCGATTGGTCATCAGGTACTGCACACACTTTTGAGAAGGATTTCTAGAGAATGCTAAAACACTTTATAATCTTTCAGTCGAAGCCACTGGAGCGACGGAAGCACCGTCGAGAGCACCAGCGCTGCCTGGCCCACTCCGTCGTGGGAACGCCCAACTACATTGCTCCTGAGGTGCTGCTCGGCCTGGGCTACACGCAGCTTTGTGACTGGTGGTCAGTAGGCGTCATCCTCTACGAGATGGTCGTCGGTCACCCGCCCTTCTACGCGGACAGCAAGCCTGCCATACAGCAGCGCATCATCAACTGGCGCCACGAGCTGGTCATCCCCCCGGAGCCCCGGCTCTCCACCGACACCAAGCGCCTCATTCTGGGACTGTGCTGCGAGCCGGAGGCCCGTCTGGGACGCAATGGCGCCGACGAAATCAAGCGTCAGCCTTTCTTCAAGACGATCGACTTTGAGTCGGGACTGCGCAGTCAGCCGGCGCCGTACGTGCCTCGAATCGACCACCCCACCGACACCAGCAACTTTGACACGTCGATGATTGACCAGGACAAGTCAGGACTGTTCACCTCGGATGAGTTCACCAGCAGCAGCGAGTACGTCAATGAAATGTCGGACATCTTCAACGGCGACATGCCTGGCCCACTCAGGCCCAACGGTGGCGGCGGAGGTGGTGGTGGTGGTCACCGGAAGAAGAGGGCCCCGAACAGCGACCCCTCTGACCCGAACCATCCGCAGCACGCCTTCTTTGAGTTTACCTTCCGCCGCTTCTTTGACAGCAGCGGCCAGGCGATACCGATTCGAGGGTCGGGCGGCTCCGGCTCGGTGACGGACGGCTCCGTGGGAGCAGGCACTGACACTGAGTCGCTGACGTACGGCTCCACGGACGGCGGCGGTGGTGATGGCTGTGGAGATGGCGGTGGTGATGGCTGTGGTGATGGCTGTGGTGATGGCGGTGTCTGCTCCACGACCATCACCACCACCACCACCTCCAGTGGTAAGGGCGGTGTCTCCGTCACTGCTGCCGACCACCGGTACACCGTGTACGGGCAGATGACGGCGGCGGAGGGGGGTCACCACCACAGCAGTGCCAAAGCAGTGGGCGCGGGAAAGGAGACGAAGGGCACGACGGAGGGGATGAGGGGGGGCACCGCCTCACCGACGACCACTGTCGCCGCTGCCGCCCCCTCTGCCTCTGCCAGCTCTACTTCGGCGTCCTCAGCCATATCGGCGATGATCTCCGCGGCGGCGGTCAATGTCTCATAGCCACCTCGGTCACACCTCCTCCCCTCCTCCCCTTTCTTTCTCTTCCTCCTGTGTTCAATCAACAAAACGCCTTCTTCTTTCGCCTACCCCCCTCTCTCCTTTGGTGTGTGCAAAGGAGAGAAGCAATTAACTTCAGTGCCTTTAACACACTTTGTGTAATAAATTTTGTTCTTGTATGATTCTTGCAAAAGAAAATACTCTGTTTGCTTCAATCTGCAGTGCAGTAAAAAGAATGTGACAGTCGTGCATGATGATCTTTTGTTTCAACGAACCAAAAACCAGTTAAAAAGGGGAGAGCCTTTATGAAGAGAGCGAGTTCACAGACTAGACAGCTACGGAGAAAAATAGAATATGGGCAAAAGGTGATGATGCCTTTGTACAGGGTAGACATGAGAATCATTGTAGTGAGAAAGCATGAAGTAGTGAACATAATGAAAAGATTGAGATTAAGATCATTAAAAGTGGTATGTACCAACGGGTTCGTCATTGTCGGAGTAGTCCATCGAAATGGAAGAGTTTCCGCCGCCGTCGCCGCCGCCAGCGGCTGCGGCGGCTGCTGCAGCCGCGACAGCAGTGGCTGCCAAAGTGGTCATCACCTCCATCTCATTCGCCTCACCCTTACCAGTGGACACTGCTTTGGCACAGCTCGTCAGGTCTTCCTCCTGCTTGATCTGACTGAAGGCGCCACTGTACAACAGGTCGCCATCAGCACCAGCAGCGGAGTTTTTGGTGGCGGTCATTGGCGGCAACGTACATTCACCAGCAGTTTCATCGCCGTCACCGAAGCCGTCTGTCAATGAGTCAGAGCCGCTTAGTTTTAGAGTGGATATCACTTGGCCGGTAGTGGTGGCGCCGATCGGCTTGAGAAAGACCTCCACAAAGGCGTACGGATCACGGTCTGAGTACAGATTAAATCGGTTAGCTTCCTTAGGATCACAAAAAATCGACATTTACCATCAAATATGTTCTTGTCTCGCTGCTCTCGAACAGTGCGAGGCAGTTGAAAGTGCTGTGTCCTGGTATAAGATGAGAAAAAATGTAATCAATATTTGGTGCTCTTTTTCAAAGTTTTCAGCGTTCTTTACTCTTGAATACATGTTTACTCACCTTATATGTCGAGTGATGTTGCCCGAATGCTCTCCGGTGTAGTCGCACATTGGCCACTTGCAGCGGTAGCACTTTTGCGTGTTTGAGACGGACGATATGGAAGAGGAAGAAAGACCAGAGGAAGTACTGAGCGACGTAGAGCACGGAGGCTCCACTGAGACGGGGGCGACTGACTGGCTTGTGTAGGCGTTTTTCACCGTGATCTCCTCGAAAAAGTTCTTCAAGTCCTGCTCGTTGTCGGGCTGCTCCTGCTGCTCAAATGCGAGGTGCATCGAACGAAGGTGTCGGTAGATGTTGGAACGGCTGGCAAAGTCAGATTTGCAGCCCGGCCACTTGCAGCGAAAACGGGTGCTCCAGTGGCTGCGTCGGTGGGCCACCAGTTGGCAATGTTTGCGGAAAGAGGCAAGGCAAGTGGCTTTGTTACAAAAGTGAATCTTCTCGCGAGATTTTTTCTTGCTGGAGTGCACTAGTGCTGAAGGCGAACTGGCAAGCTCATTGCTGCTGCTGCCTGGAATCTCGTAAAAGTTGGCTTCAAGTGGAGAGGTCGATTCATCGAAGGCAATCTCATCTGAAAGCTGCCTTTCAAGTTTAACCTTCTTTGTGCCAAACAGCTCCCCTTCAATCTCTTCGTCCTCCTCTGAGCGACAGTCACTGCAGTCACAGTTGGTGGAGCCCTCGTCTTCGCCAAAGGCCTCTCCAGCCTCGTGATCGTCCATGTTCTCTTCATGATCTGAAAGCAGCTCCTCTTTGATGGTTGACACGGTCCCATCAGCTGCCAACGACGAAGCCGTCGATCTGATGATGTTGACAGGCGTTGATATGGAGTCAGCTCCCACTGACAGCTCTTCAGTGGAGCCAATGAGCTTGGAAGGTTCGACCACATCGGAGACGACATTTCCCCCGCCCCAGAATGGATCACTGCCCACCAGGAGATGGTCATTGCTGCCGACGATCAGGCCATTCTCCGGAGACGGGTGGTGATGGTCGAGCAGCGAGGTGGACAACGAAAAGTGGCTGCTGGTGTTATCTCTGCATGCGTCCACCTCCGCCACGTCCACCAGCGTCTGCGGTCCAGAGTCGGCGGTGGCAGCAGCAGCAGCAGCAGCATTGGCGCCCTCCTTCAGTTCCTCGAGAAGCGGCGCGAAATAGGCGTCCACTCTGCTGCACAGATCAGTGTACATGGACTTCTTGAACTCCTCCTTGACACGTTCGAATCGCAGCACAAAATCGTGAGATATGTTCATGATCATCGTCTCGAATGGTGGCGGCGGTGGTGGCGGTGGCCACTGCTGAAGAAGAGCGGATGAGCCTTCTCGAGGACAGGACCTCCTCGTTGACGAGACACTGTCACCGCTCGAGTGGAGCTCGTTTGTTTTGTTGTTCTCAGCAGCCGCCGCCGCCGCCAGAGAAGTGGCGAAAGCCGTCAGAGCCTCAGGTGGACAGCGGTGAACGGTGGAACTCGTAGCTTGCGCCAGTGCTTGGGACGTTCTTTTTCCTTCGCTCACCATCCTGACCGACAGTTCGCCAACTCGCTGACAGTCGTCGCCCCTGTCAAGATTGGCACAAATTGGTAGAATTGTCGGAATAAATCAAAGCCAGCTTTATTGACTATATAGAAGGTATGTTTCTATAAAAGCATGAAGTAATGGCGGTAAAAGCTAGATAAATAAAAAATGAAGCAGGAAGAAATCAAAGAAATTATGGTGATAAAAGTCTAGTCGAGTTGAGATTTGTTTTGCAGTGAAGATTAGAGACCAGAAAATGTGGTGGGTCAGTGAGTTGAGATCAGTGAATAGGTGTTTGAAGGTTTGCTTGAAGTACATCGTTAAAGGTAGTAAGTAGTCCTGCAATATTTGGATTATTTTCACTTCAGCCTAAGTCGAGGTCAGTTCGAAGTTCCATAAAGGTTGCTGGGTCGCGATCGTCGACGATTCCCTGGCAAATTGAAATGATTTTTAGAAATTAGAAGATACTGTCGCATGTCTGCTCCCTTATCACTTTCTTACTCATTTCTTCTTTCATGTCACACACGCGGTATGCACACACACACTCTTTTGTCACCCTTGACTCTTGTCACCCTCTGTTCACCCCCCAGTCATGCCCGTGAGTATTGTCTCTCCCCGTTTCCCTCTCCTTCTCGTCTTTTCCCCTCCTGTATATAACCCCTTTCTTTCTCCCCAGTAAAAAGCCTCAGAGTCTCAGTGCTTGCAAGAGCCTGTGCCAGCAGTTGTAGCGCAAGTGCCTCACAAGCAGTCCGTTATTCTGCCTAGCAGCAGCAGTGTTTGGCCCTCGCAGTGTGGCCGTAGTTCCCCAGCAGCAGACCATCGTCGTCGTCTTTGTCTACCAGCAGAAGCAGCACCTTCCTCAAGCAGCAGAAGCAGTACCAGCACCTTCCCCAGCAGCCCAAGCAGTCCGAAGCAGAAACAAACCGACTTTCCGCAGAACAACCGCAACTCTGCCCCAACCCGATTTGTGCTGGCGCAGCGCGAGCCCGCTACATTAGAAGCTAAAAAGTTGGGTCAACTTACCAGCGCTCTCTGCTCCTTAATCGTTCGTGGTATTCCAAAGTGTGTAAGACGAACATGTTGAATGACATTTCGAGGATGTTCGCTCATGTACTGACACTGATGGCACTCGTTGGGCCCATCCGCCCAGGTGCAGCGATATGGCTTGATTCCTCTGTGGGTCCACATGTGAGAAATGTACTGCTTCATCTGGCGATAGGAACGGTCACAACCTGTGAGTGGACAGGCCAGGCGATCGCCAATTCGAAGCGGGCTGGGCATTCGGTTCTGAGGAATGAGCATTACTGGAGGAGATTCTCTGGAACCAGCGTTGAGGATCGCCTCGTCAGGCGCAACGTGAACGACCATCTCCTCTGAAGGATCATCGTCATCATCTTTCTTTTGGGTTTTTTCCTCTTTCTCTTTATCCTCCTCATTTTCATTGTTATTAGTTTCCGCTTCTTCGGCGTCACCATCATTCTTACAGTGTTCAGTCTTTAGTCGTTTGTTGACAATGCTGCTAAAGCCGTTGACTTGGTCAACTCGGAGATTAGGCAGATCATTCTCAGAAGACAGATCTTCTTCTGATTCTTCGTCCCCTTCAATACCACCTTTGAGCATAAAACCATGACCAAGTCCATCATCATCATCTTCTTCCTCCTCCTCCTCCTCTTCATCCTCGTACGATTCAAAGTCTTCCACATCATCATCATCTTTAAACTCCCGATTAATAAAGTGTGCTGAAATAATACTTTGCATTGNTTGTTGACAATGCTGCTAAAGCCGTTGACTTGGTCAACTCGGAGATTAGGCAAATCATTCTCAGAAGACAGATCTTCTTCTGATTCTTCGTCCCCTTCACTACCACCTTTGAGCATAAAACCATGACCAAGTCCATCATCTTCTTCTTCTTCCTCCTCCTCCTCTTCATCCTCGTACGATTCAAAGTCTTCCACATCATCATTATCTTTAAACTCCCGATTAATAAAGTGTGCTGAAATAATACTTTGCATTGAAGTTTTTTGCTGGCCCGACGGATGTTGAGAGCGTGAGGTAACGCGATGAGTTCGAAGCATTGGTTGCTGATGTGTTTTGTTGATGGTTGTGCTAAAGTTTTGAAGGTGAAAATGCGAATTTTCGCCTTTGGCCACTGATCGCTGTTTATGGTCCGGCTGACCGAGATGGTAGTGAAGATGACTAGACTGGGAGTTTTGCGATGATCCTGAATACGGATTAAATCGGTTAGCTTCCTTAAGGTTATACAAAATCCACATTTACCATTCATCATTGGAGGTCCAAAGTGGGCGCGACTGTCATCACCACCAGAACAGCTAAGAAAACCAGTCTTTAGTTCATCGAGAAAAGTTGCAAAGAGAATGTCCACTTGACAGCAGACCGACTTTTTAAACTTTTCTTTTTCATTGTGAAATCTCTGTAGAAATTGCGGCGTCAAAGTGGCCATAGTTGAAGAATTTACTTTAAGGAGAACCAGAAATTATCAACCGACACAGTAAACAGCTTCAAAACAGCTTCAAAACAGCGGCGCCTGTTCCCAAAAGATAATAAACGCTAGGAAAAACACCGTCCCGCTTTATTTTTCACAACTAAGAGGAACG